TTTCTCCGATTAGGTCAATGGTCAATTCGTTTAGTTTCTTTCCATTAGACCTGTATAGGCGAAAGCTTTGAACTGGGGGAGAGATGGGGTTTTCCGAATCGGATCAAATAGTATTGCTCCTTCTTGCTTTGTTTCTTTTTTTTTATCATAGTTAGATGAAATAGTAGACATATATGTTTACACTAGGTAAAAGTAACGACAGTCGATATTAATTGATATGTCGATGAAAGAGCCCTTTATGCCACTAAATGGACAGCTCTGTTAGTTCCTAAGAATAGAGTGACAAAAACACTAAAATCTAAAAAAGGATATAAGCTTCCGCCGCTACATCACACCGCCTTAAGCTCTGTATGCCTTCATCTAGGATCTGTGATGACAGTTCATCATCCCCACCTCTCACCGCACATATCCACAAATAACAGAGGTATGCGGACAAGTACCCCATAAAAAGAGATATGATATGCAAAAATAATGATATGATCTCAATTCCACCCCTGAATCAACTCAAACAAATCGTTCAAAGATCGGGTCAAGTTAATACGAACAAGGCTGGAAATTTTCCAAGTGTTGAGACAGTTTTGGGAAGGGTACTTTGGAGGGATGTTTCTATCAAACTATTCACTGGAAATGCAAGGTTACGGTCTTATTTTGAACACTGGATGTTTGTCTATAGTTTGATGCATTTGGGTCGTGGAAAGAATGTCAGGAGGATTGTTTTTCAAGGCCATCAAAAACCTATCCTGCATTCTGGAAATTGCCAATTTTTGGCTAAGGCAGGGAGACAGCTTGAGGTACCAACTTTGAGCTTGAATTCACGACATTTGGAGCATGACCAGCTGGTGCTTGGAGTTGGGAATGAAAGAGTAAAACTTTCTAAACCAAGGGAAGGAATTGGCTGAGCTCGACTCAACCCAGAAGGTCGATTTCCAGAGCCACCAAGTTGACATCAAGGCCTGTTTTGGGCAGTTAGCTTGTGAGAGAAGTTAGTGACTTGGGATGCAAGTTTTAATTGTTTTCAACGTTTTCTTTTCCTTGTTTGATTCAGAATTGTTGCATTGTTTGTTTAGGATTGTAATTAGGGTTCTTGGCTATAAATAGTCACGCATTGAGTTGTAAGAACACACGTTGAAGTTTAATCGAAATTACTACGAGGAGTTTTCCAGCTTGCGAGCTTTTGGTTCTTGGTTGTTTGGCCGAGAATTGCAGACCTAGAGATCAGGATATTCACTCTTGATCTCGTGGTAGTTCTACCTAGAATAGCCTGTTCCCTTTTCGTGTTGAAGTTGCTGATTTAGTTCGTTAAGTTCCATCGATTTTCATCCCAATCGAGGGCTTATCAAGTGGCATCATCGCCTGGTTCAAAGCAGTGGCCAAGACGAAGAAGAAGCAAGAGGACGCTCGTCCTGTTGCAGCTCGAACAAGAAGAAAAGACCCTATTGATTTGCGGAAATTTAAAGAAACAGAGCTGGAATCTGATTCTGAGTGCGACGAGGACACTGAAATTCAAGAATCGACCATGGCGGAACAAATTAATACAACGGATTTGCTGCAAACAATAATGGCGCAGATGAACGCCACGTTCCAAGTACAGTTCGACAGTATCAACAAGCAATTGGCCGAGTTGAGGTCGTCGACGGCGACAACGACGGCTGAACCCAAGACGCCGAAGAGGCAGGAAACAGTCCCTGGAGACGATCAAAGCCCCCAAGCTATGAATGCACGAATTCAAAATCTGGAGCACCAGTTGATCCTCGCTGGAGATGGTCATCGTGAACGGAATCGTGAGTTTCAAAATCACGATCAACGTCTGCTAGAAACAGGGGTTCTTGACAAGCTCCGTGGAATCAAGTTGAGCATACCTTTGTTTCAGGGTAGCCTCAATCCCTCTGACTATTTGGATTGGGAACGGAAGGTGCTCCTGTTCTTTGATTTCCATAATTACTCCGACGAGCAGAAAATCAAGCTTGTTTCTTATGAGTTTGAAGGTTACGCGGCGGTGTGGTGGGAACAAATTCGAATTAAGCGAAGGAGAATTGGGCTACCACCCATAGCTACCTGGTTTGAGTTAAGGAGCTTGATGAGGGACTGGTTTGTGCCCTCGTACTATCAACGCGACCTTCACGACAATCTACAGTTGCTTCGTCAAGGAAGCAGGAGTGTTGAAGAGTACTACCGAGAGATGGATCTCCTGATGATCCGAGCTGACATTAGGGAAGACAAGGAAGCTAAAATCAGCAAGTTTTTGCAAGGCCTTCAAAGGGAAATCAAAAACCAAGTCGAGTTCTTCCCATTCGTAGAAATTGAAGAAGTTGTCCCGCTTGCCGCCAAGGTTGAGAAGAAATTGAAACAACAGGGGTCTGGCAGGAGGTTCCCTCCAGCAGGAAACACTCCCAAGCCAAGTTTGGAATCTGAATTGAAACCTGAACCCCCTCGAACCATGCCTAGGAACACTACGACAACTCTTCCCGAGAAGGCGAACAATTCTAGTGGCACAATTCGATGTTTTAAGTGCCATGGTTATGGGCACAAATCGCATCAGTGTGCTAACCAGAAGATAATGGTACTCCGAGATGGGAAGTATTGTTCAGACGACGAAGAGGAGGCTGAAGAACAACCAACAAGCGAGTTAGAAGGGGAAGAGATGGAGGCGGACAAGGGACCATTGTTTGTGGTTCGTCGAGCATTGGCAAGTCAGGAGGAGGATTCCTCTGAGATGGACCAGAGAAGCAACCTGTTTCACACTAGATGCCAAGTCAAAGGAAAAATTTGACGGTGATCATTGACGGGGGAAGTTGTGCCAATGTAGCAAGCCTCGACGTCGTGAAACGATTGGGTTTGGTTATGAGCCCTCGACCTGAACCATATTCTCTACACTGGCTCAGTGATCACGTTGTGATCAAGGTAAACGAACATGTACGAATTCCATTCTCCATTGGGAAGTATCAGGACGAAATGCTCTTCGATGTCATTTCGATGCAGGCCATGCACTTGGTGTTGGGCATGCCTTGGCAATTTGACCGAAAGGTTTCTCATCATGGCCGAACAAACCAGTACACGTTTGAGCACGGAGGAAGGAAACTGGTTCTTAAACCTCTGTCGTCGGAGGAAGTTCGCGCCGACCAGCAGCATATGGCACGAAGTTGAGCTAAGGATGAAGAGGGATCAAAGAAAGAAGCTTCCGAGGCTCAGTTGCTGGCTAGAAGGTACCTACTGACTGTGCTTGCTGGCAAGACAGTCCCGCGGAGAAGCAGAGGTCGCCGGCTCTCTTTTCCAGCCGCCCTGAATCCCACCGAATTGGGTGGAGTAGCTGAGGTAAGGTCGGAAGGAGAGGACTCCGCCGACATGTTCCAAATTTGCCCAGAAACGTGTCAAGTCAAAGAAATCCAGCCAAATCAAGTTCAATCGGCGAATCCCAAAGACCCAATTTTGCCTCCGAAGGTGACGAACGAGGAAGGAACGGTGGAGGAATTGGTTGGGGAGTTTGGGTGTGATACGAAGCTATTGGCGACTGTGGACAAGCTCAAAATCGTCCAAGGAAGCTCGAGGATTGATCGATTGGACGAGGAGAAGCCGAGAGCAAAAATACCCAATTTCGATTTGGGGTCGCCGGAATCTGGGTTCGTATCGCCGGATTCTGGGGAATTTAAAATCTCTGATGGCGGGAACCACGGCCGTCTCGATTGGGATCGATTCGGCCATGATGGAAGCTGGAGGATGGCTGGAATCAACTCCTGGGCGCTAGGCGAACCACTTGCAAGCAACAAATTGGGACGAGAAGGTGATGAGAGGAAAGCCCCAATTTTGGAATCCTCGCCGGAACGTTCTCCGTCGCCGGAAACTGCAATTTTTCAGGTCAGACCTTTGTATGAGGAGCCTTTTTCGAATCCAGTTTGGGATCAATTTTGTAGGTCTTTTGAGGAGAAGAAGGCCCAAGCTTTAAGGACAAAGCTTTTTCAACAGGGGGGGCCTGATATGATCTCAATTCCACCCCTGAATCAACTCAGACAAATCGTTCAAAGATCGGGTCAAGTTAATACGAACAAGGTTGGAAATTTCCCAAGTGTTGAGACAATTTTGGGAAGGGTACTTTGGAGGGATGTTTCTCTCAAACCATTCACTGGAAATGCAAGGTTAGGGTCTTATTTTGAACATTGGATGTTTGTCTATAGTTTGATGCATTTGGGTCGTGGAAAGAATGTCAGGAGGATTGTTTTTCAAGGCCATCAAAAACCTATCCTGCATTCTGGAAATTGCCAATTTTTGGCTAAGGCAGGGAGACAGCTTGAGGTACCAACTTTGAGCTTGAATTCACGACATTTGGAGCATGACCAGCTGGTGCTTGGAGTTGGGAATGAAAGAGTAAAACTTTCTAAACCAAGGGAAGGAATTGGCTGAGCTCGACTCAACCCAGAAGGTCGATTTCCAGAGCCACCAAGTTGACATCAAGGCCTGTTTTGGGCAGTTAGCTTGTGAGAGAAGTTAGTGACTTGGGATGCAAGTTTTAATTGTTTTCAACGTTTTCTTTTCCTTGTTTGATTCAGAATTGTTGCATTGTTTGTTTAGGATTGCAATTAGGGTTCTTGGCTATAAATAGTCATGCATTGAGTTGTAAAAACACACGTTGAAGTTTAATCGAAATTACTCCGAGGAGTTTTCCAGCTTGCGAGCTTTTGGTTCTTGGTTGTTTGGCCGAGAATTGCAGACCTAGAGATCAGGATATTCACTCTTAATCTCGTGGTAGTTCTACCTAGATTAGCCTCTTCCCTTTTCGTGTTGAAGTTGCTGATTTAGTTCGTTAAGTTCCATCAATTTTCATCCCAAATTCATCCATCGTTGTTTCATCACTCCGTGATTCTGATTTAAGCCAATTGAGGGCTTATCACATAACCCGAATGAGAACTGCACCAGGATAAAAGGCCCAACCAGGCCTTGAGGCCCCAACAGTTGAGGGCCCGATGAGACAAGCCCCTTAGCGGGTGGAGTGGCTTGTGTCCTGCAGGATGCAAAGCCACCTGGCAGTGGTAATTGACACGCCCCCTTTCCACCACCTCATCGCCTTGCTTTTGCCAAAGGAAAAGATAGGATCGACACCCCACCGCTTCTTTGGGTTGCTGGAGGACAATGATAGGGCCAAAGATAAGAATGGTCACACCACCGTCCACCGGGCAGCGGCCAAGATAAGGCCTACTAAAAATGCTGACGTCAACTTCCATCGGCTTTGTTCTCCGGCGCTGAAAATGCGCAAAGTTGCAGGTGGCGGAGGGAAACAAAATATGTTGAACCTACATCGATGAATTGAAACACCGAAAGAAAGCAGAAACCTAAAAAAAATCTCAAATACATCAGCTACCCAAAATCATATAGGATCTGAGGCAAACAAGTCACGAAAGGCAAGTAGAGAGGAAAGAAAATTGAATAGGCCATCCAAAATGAAGAGATAAATTCTCAAATCAGATTGAGCAAAACATGGGAAACGCAATCAGGTTAAAGACACCAAAGTCCAAATAATTAATCAGAAACCCCAAATCAAAGCCATGTAAAAACAATAAAGAGCTGGCGGAAGTTGGAAGAAATTCACCAAAGAGGGAGAGGCTGTTAGACGAGAGTATAGCTCGTTTTTCCTTTTCCTTTGTTGTACTTTATGTACTGGGCCTTATGTACTTTGGACGGCTTGTGTTTGGGCTTAGGTTAGACCCATGCAACCCATGCAAGGAGAGGAGCCGTACGTGTAGATACCTCTCCTAGGGTTCGGTTGGCTAGAGAGTAGTATTTCTACTTGTTTTGGGCGGCAGTAGAGGGACACGATACATACTGTAAACTCTGATCAGTCTAGTGAATTGGTGCTCGAAGAGTTCTCAACTCTTCCGTGGATTAGTCCTGGAATTCCAGGGATACCACGTAAATCGGTCTGTCTGTTACTTTCTGTTTACCGTTTGTGATTGCGTTACATGGTATCAGAGCTTTCGACAATGGAATCTGAAAAACCGACTGTTCGTCTCACCTCCACGAACTACCCATTGTGGGAGTTCCAGTTCCGCGTTTTTGTTGAAGGTCGTGGCCTCCTTGGCGTGCTCGATGGTACGACGCCAAAGCCACCTGAAACAGCTGCTGCTCAGCTCATCACCGCCTGGAATCAGAACGATGCTCGGGTCCGATCTTTGCTGCTGGGATCGGTCGAGCCATCGACATGCTTGAGTCTCCATCTTTTTCCGACGGCAAATCAAATGTGGAGGCATCTGGCCTCTACATATTCAACTGTTAGTACAGCCCGGCAGTTCGAAATCCAGCTTGCATTGGCCCGATTAGAGCAAGGGGATCGCTCCGTTACTGAGTATTTTAACCTGTCTCAAGAGCTTTGGACTGAACAGGACCTCGTCTCGATAGCGCTGCGTCCGCAAGCTCCTTCTGAAGATGCGTTGTTGGAGAAACAGCGTAGTCGGCTGCTCTCGTTTCTTATGCGTTTGCAGCTCGAATTTGAATCTGTTCGCTCATCTTTGTTGAATAAAGAAGATCTCAAGCTTGATGGTGTGCTGCCGCATCTTGTTCGAGAGGAAATCAGGCTGCGAACCCAATCTCAGCTTGATGTGAGACCTGGTGCAGGGGAGTCCGTCGTCATTGCTGCCGCTGGGGATGCTTCTGCCTATGCCGTGAATCGTCCGCAATTTCAGCAGCGCATCCCAGCATCTGAACTCATCTGCCATCATTGTCGCGAAAAGGGTCATCTGCAGAAGCATTGCCGCCGCAAAAACTATTGTGTTTATTGCAAACGACCTGGGCACATTGTCTTGGAATGTCGGAGTCGGCAGAGGAATGAGGCGCGAAATGGTACTGCATCTGAAGGGGGTTATACTGCTGGCGGCCCATCTCGATCAGGAGGGACATGGCAATCCGGATATGGTGATCGTGGTGGCGATAGGACTGCTCGCCCCACCTATGCTACCACGGCAGTGGAGGGTTCTACCTCCAATGGTGGACACGCAAGTCTGTCTGCAGCCGATATTGAGCAATTGGTGAATGCTGCACTCCAAAAATCTCTACCTACAGCTATTGGCGCTGCCTTTGCCACTCTGCAGGGATCAGGTAACCAATCTCCTTGGCTTTTAGACTCTGCCTGTTTCAATCATATGACCTCTAATGCAAAGTATCTTGAGCATCTTGTTCCTGTTCGGAACATGGCGCTGCAAGTGGCTAATGGCGAGCAATTACATGTTAAAGGGGTTGGTTCTATCACCAATCCACATATATCGTTATCCGATACTCTCCATGTCCCTGCCCTTGTCCCAAATTTAGTCTCTGTTGGTCAACTCACTGATAGCGGCTGTTCTGTGTTGTTTGCACCGTCTGGATGTGTTATACAGGATTTGAAGACGGGGAGGCAGATCGGAAGGGGGAGTAAACGAGGGAGAGTCTTTCACCTGGAGGAGCTTCAAGGTTCATCAGTTTCGTCTGTCGTCAGTAGTCATTTCCGTAGGCCTGTCATTAGTCCTGTTCCGTCTTTGTTGTCTGCTCCTTTCAGTTTTTCGAGTCAGCCTGACAGTGGTTGGAGTCTTTGGCATTCTCGGTTAGGTCATCCTAATAATGATCATCTTGCTATGATGTTTCGCCAGTCGCTGCTTGGTAAAAATACTGTTGATTTGTCGGCCAAACATTATTGTACTGGTTGCGTTGAAGCAAAAACTGCTAGTATTTCTTTTCCTCCCAGTAATACTGTCATCAGTGAACCATTTCATATCATTCACACTGATCTGTGGGGCCCTGCTCCTGTTCTTTCTCGCCGTGGATATAGATATTTTGCTCTGTTCATCGATCATGCTACGCATTTTACTTGGGTCTATTTTCTGCGATTGAAGTCTGAACTTCGTTCTGTCGCTATTGAGTTCCTCAAAATGATTCAAACTCAGTTTGGTCGCCCAGTAAAAATTATCAGATCGGATCCCGGAGGAGAATTTAGTTCTATCCCTTTACATGATGTCTATCGTTCTATGGGGGTTTTAAGTCAGATGTCCTGTCCAGGTATTTCTCAACAAAACGGTCTTGTAGAACGTAAAAATCGTCACGTTGTAGAACTTATGCGTGCTCTCTTGTTAGATTCCCGGGTTCCTGGTAGCTTTTGGCCTGAAGCAGTAGCTACTGCAGTTCGTCTGATCAACTACCAAATCACTCCTGTTCTCCGTCATACCAGTCCCTACTTTGCTCTGTATGCTCGTCATCCTGATTATTCGCGTCTTCGAGTCTTTGGTTGTCTGTGCTTTGTTCTTCTGCCTAAACGTGAACGTACTAAGCTTTCCTCTAAGACAGCCAGATGTGTTTTTGTGGGTTACAGTGATGTGCACAAGGGTTACCTTTGTTACGATCCTGCTTTGCAGCGTATGCGCATCGCTGCCACTGTTGTCTTCTTTGAGCATGTCATGTATCATTCCATTGAGTCCTCTCCTTCCCGTATTCCGTTCCCTGGTCCTTCCTTGCCTGTCCTAGATGACCTTGATGGTGATGCGCCTGACCTCCCTCCCGACGATCCTCCAGACTCCCCTTCCCAGCACGATCTGCCTTCCCCCGAGCCTTCGTCTCCGTTCACGGCCAGCTCCTCTTCGGCTAGCAGCTCACAAGGCTCCACTTTGTTTCCCGACAGCTCCGCCAGCCCTGCTGCTCCTTCTTCTCCTGAGCACTCGCCCTCGCCCCAACCTACTGCTCCTCGGCGGTCCCTTCGTGTCACCAAGGGCGTCCCACCACCCCGATTTTAGGACTACACCGCTCACGGGGTTCAGGCTATTTCTGTTCCTACCCGTTTTAAACAAGCACAGGGTGATCCGGTCTGGGATCATGCCATGAAACGCGAGTTGGAGGCCTTTCATGCCAACAATACTTGGACTTTGGTTCCTCGTCCTCCACCGGGTACCTCAGTTGTTGGCTGTCGCTGGGTTTACACGATTAAGATGAATCCGGATGGTACAGTTGATCGTTACAAGGCTCGCTTGGTTGCTCAAGGCTTTAAACAGGAGTTTGGGGTTGATTATAATGAAACTTTCGCTCCGGTGGCCAAGATGTCTACTGTTCGTACACTGCTTGCTGTTGCTGCTCAACAGAATTGGCCACTCTACCAGATGGACGTTAAAAATGCTTTTCTGCATGGTGATTTGGATGAGGTTATTTATATGGAATGCCCTCTTGGTTATACAGAGGGTACTTCAGATCAGGTTTGCCGTTTAAATCGTTCCTTATATGGTCTTAAACAGGCCCCCAGGGCTTGGTTTGAGAAATTTCAGTCTACCATTTCTGCTCTGGGCTTTCGGCAAAGCTTGAGTGATCCATCCTTGTTCACTCGTTCTACCTCAGCTGGCATTGTTGCTTTGCTTCTCTATGTTGATGATATGGTCATCACTGGTACTGACTCTGCCGGTATTCGACGTCTTAAGGAGGGTCTTCATGCTTCTTTTGACCTAAAAGACCTGGGTGATCTCTCTTATTTCCTTGGCCTTGAGGTTCATCGTACTTCCCAGGGTCTTTTACTGAATCAACGGAAGTACATTACTGATATGCTCGAGGATCATCACTTTGCAGATTGCAAACCGGTCACTACACCGATGGAGCTTAATTTACGGCTTGGCCGTGACTCTGGCACTCAGCCTGTTGATGGGTCTACTTATCGTAGCATTGTGGGTAGCCTTATTTATTTATCTGCCACACGTCCTGATATTTCCTATGCAGTTCAGCTTGTCAGTCAGTTCATGTCTGCTCCTCGTACTGATCATCTTGCTGCTGTTCATCGTATTCTTCGGTATCTTCAGGGTACTCGTGATGTTGGTCTGTTTTTTCCTTCTCATGGATCTATTGGTTTACGTGCCTACTCTGATTCCGACTTTGCTGGCTGTATCGACACTCGTCGTTCTACTTCTGGTTGGTGTGTTCAATATGGTGAGGCTTTCATCTCCTGGAGGTGTAAGAAGCAGGACAAGGTGTCTAAGTCTTCTACTGAGGCCGAGTACCGTGCTATGTCTGAAGTTGCTTCTGAGCTTGTTTGGCTGCGCCGTCTCCTGGCGGATTTGGGCATGGATTGTGCAGTGCCTATCGATCTTTTTGTTGATAATACCAGTGCTATTCGGATCGCTGTCAATCCGGTTCTTCACGATAGGACGAAGCACATTGAGATTCATGTGCATTATATTCGTGATTTGGTCAGAGATGGCACGATTTCTCTTCATTATATTCGGACTGAGGAACAGGTTGCTGATTTGTTGACCAAGGCTTTCCCTTTGAGTCGCCACTGGTATCTGTCTAGCAAATTGATGCTCTCTAC